TCTCAGAAGAAGAGTTCGTCTCCGAGTTAGCTGACCAAAATGTCTGTGGTGCTAGGCGGATCAAGATGCGAAAGGAAGGTCAGTTGATTGACACGAAACACGTGATCCTGACCTTCAACACGCCTGATCTGCCTAAGAATATTAAGGCCGGGTATCTAAACCTTCCTGTAAGACCTTATATTCCTAACCCTATGCGATGTTTCCATTGCCAGCGTTTCGGCCATTCTAAGATGTCTTGTCGTGGCAGCCTCGCATGCGCCCGATGCTCACAGATTGGCCACGATTCTGAAAATTGTACCGCTGTGCCTTTGTCTATAAATTGCAAGGGTCAGCACCCAGCATTTTCACGCCTGTGCTCAAAATGGAAAACCGAAAAAGAAGTGCAGACTGTAAAAGTTACCAGAAACATCTCATATGCTGAAGCCAGAAAAATAGTTCAAAGCACACGATCAACTCAAACAAATCATATGCCAGTGCAGTTAAAACAACACGTAGCATTGCCACCCAAACATCAATAGGCACGCAGACTGTACCAAATAAAACCCAACCGACTTCATCCACCAAGAATAAGGAAAATGCAACTCATTTAATACAAAAAAAAAAAAAAAAAAAAGAAAAAGAAACAGTCATTCAAAGTAAACCTAAAACTGCCACTAAAAAAATATCAAATAAAAATAGAAGTTCCAGCAATAGCTCTTTTGATGAAATGATTTCTGAATCTGCGGATTCAGAAAGTATGGATGTAGAAGAGGGTCTAGAAGTTCCCAGGCATCTACTTCCACGAAAAACAAAAGAACAGCACAGAAAGAATAAAAACCATTCATAATGGCCACCCTCATCTCGTGGAACTGTTGCGGTTTCCACCGAAATTTGCCTGACATCAAATCTATAATAAATGCCTATCATCCTGTGTTCTTAGCAATACAGGAAACAAATCTGAAACCAGAACAACATGCAAAACTTCAGAGGTTTTCTTTTGTCAGAAAGGATAACCTTGCAGGTGAGTGTGCCAGTGGAGGTGTAGGTCTCCTCACCTCACTGGATTATCCCTCAAATGTACTTTCTTTGACGACATCCCTCCAAGTTGTCGCTACTCAAACAAATTTTGATATTGTTGTTTCATTTGTTTCCATATATTTGCCTCCAAATGAGCACATTGATCAGCAAGATTTAAATGATCTTATAGAGCAGCTGCCTGAGCCCTTATCATAATAGGAGATTTTAACGGCCATAGTCCGCTCTGGGGTAGTAAAGATACAAATTCCCGAGGAAGACAAATAGAGCAGATGATCGAAGATCATAGCCTTTGTCTCCTGAATAATGGGCAGGATACTTACTTCCATGAGCCTTCAAGGACATTCCACGCTCTCGATCTTGCCATCTGTTCACCATCTCTGTTGCCATTTTGCACCTTTAGTGTCGGAAATGATCTGTACAACAGCGATCATTATCCCATTTTTGTGTCTCTTGCACGAAGACGAGCAAACCCCATGTCGAGACTCCCTCGGTTTATACTGGACAGGGCAGACTGGGAACTTTTCTCTTCCGTTGCAGAGCTGACAGATGAAATGGTAGAAGATGCGCATATCGATGATGCTGTTGATAATACTATTATTGCTGCAGCTGTACTTTCTATTCCTAGAACGTCAGGAAAAATACTAAGATATACGAAACCATGGTGGAATCGCAGCTGTCGTGAAGCACTGAAGAAACAAAAAAAAAAAAAAAAAAGCATGGGGATAATTTTTCGTAGATATCCTACTCTGCGAAACCTCATAGCATTTAAAAGAGCCAAAGCAAATGCACGAAAGGTAAGAAGGCAGAGCCAGAGGGATTCCTGGATTACATATGTGTCCTCAATAACATCCTCTACGACTAGTAAGCGGGTTTGGGAAAGAGTTCGAAAAGCATGCGGAATATATAAAGACCACTCACTTTCTTTTCTGGAAAAAGATGGCCGAGTCATTAGCTCCTTAGAAGAAATTGCGAATACTATTGGTGAGACATTTGCTGCCGTTTCTTCCAGCAGAAACTATTCACCTGCATTTCTCTCTATTAAGCAGCACTCAGAAATAAATCCCATCGCATTCAACTCTCCCAAATCTGAGCCTTACAATAGAGACTTTACTATGCTTGAATTAAGGAGAGCTCTATTGCAGACACATAGGTCTTGTCCAGGTCTGGATGGCATGTATTATGAAATGCTAAAGCATCTGTCCTATAAGTCACTGGTATTATGAAATGCTAAAGCATCTGTCCTATAAGTCACTGACTGCCCTTCTAACACTTTACAACAGAGTGTGGAAGGAGCGTACTTTTCCCAGTGCATGGAGGAGAGCTGTTGTAATTCCCATTGTTAAGCCAGGGAAAGACCCGAGGAATCCCTCGAACTATCGGCCAATTGCCCTTACCAGTTGTGTTTGCAAACTGTTTGAAAAGATGGTAAACAGCCGCCTAGTCTACTTCTTGGAAAAGAATAATATTATATCGCCTTATTCAAGAGCGGTTTTCGAAAGGGGAGAACAACCGTAGATAACATGCTCCTCTTAGAGACATCTATTCAAAAAGCCTTTGTCAGAAGAAGTCACCTTGTCTCAATATTCTTCGACATTGAGAAAACTTATGATAAGGCATGGAGATACAGTATACTTCGGGATCTTCACGAGAGTGGCTTGTGCGGCAACCTACCAGTTTTCATACATGATTTCTTGAACGCTAGAACTTTTCAAGTAAGGATTGGCTCTGTTTTTTCGGATGTTTTTGAACAGGAAGAGGGTGTGCCTCAAGGCTGTGTGCTTAGTGTAACACTGTTCAGTTTAAAAATAAATTCTGTATTAAAAGAACTTCCTCCCACCATCTTGGGATCACTATATGTAGATGATTTACAAATTAGCTGTCGAGGGGCAGACATGAGATACATAGAGAGGCAATTGCAGATGGCTCTGAATAAGATCCAGGAATGGTCAAACAAACAGGGATTTACTTTTTCCAAACAAAAAACTGTGTGCGTGCACTTTTGTAGGAAGCGAGGTCTCCATCCTGAACCTGAGTTATATCTGAATGGTACAATTATTCCAGTTGCGCCCGAAGTAAAATTTTTAAGAGTGATGTTCGACCAGAAATTGACTTTCCTTCCTCATGTTTTAAACCTGAGAAAGAAGTGTTTAAAAACACTAAATATTTTAAAAGTGTTGGCGAACACCTCCTGGGGTGCAGAACGTTCCTCTATCCTTCGCATTTACAGAGCCCTTGTTCGCTATCCGCTCGGTCATCAGTTTTGTTAAAACTAGATCCTGTTCACCATCAAGCTCTGCGGATTTGTTCAGGAGCTTTCAGGACTTCTCCTGTCCAGAGTCTGTATGTTGACTCTAACGAACCATCACTTTATCTGAGGCGTGAGCAATTGTCCCTTTTGCAATATTTTAATATTCTATCACAACCTGAACATCCCAATAAGCTGTGCTTACTTGATAATGTATGTAACACTTTATTTGAAACACGTCCATCCTGTGTTCCTACCTTTGCTTTAAGAGTTCGCCCTATCATTGAGGAACATTCCCTCTCTGATATGCGCCCCCACGCAGTACAGAACTTTGAAATCCCACCTTGGGAAAATTCATGGATTCAGCTTCTTGATGTTTTCAAACATCAAGTGAAGGCAAGCACTAACGAGATCGTATACAGACTACTCTTTGCTGAGCACAGGCAAAAATATAGCAGTTATCTTCCAGTCTATACAGATGGATCCAAGTCAAAAGATCATGTTGGGATGGCATTTGTAATTGAAGATCACATGGAGAGGGGCAGACGCTTGCACCGTGCTTTCTCTGTCTTAACATCCGAACTTACTGCAATATATTATAGTCTTTTGTACATCTCAAGGCTCTGCCACAAAAAGTTTATAGTTTATACAGACTCGTATAGTGCGCTTAAATCATTAGAAGCTTTTTCTAACACTCAAAATCCAGTAATAGTGAATATTCTTAAGTTACATATAAACTTAACAGGTCATGGATATGAAATCCTGTACTGCTGGGTTCCCGGGCATGTGGGAATAAAAGGGAATGAGCTGGCAGATATCACAGCAAAATGTGCTGTTGAACTGTCCAGTCGTCTCATCCCTTTTGGAGACATCTGTTGTGTTGTGAAAGAGAAAATCCGAAAAAAATGGCAACAACTTTGGGATGTTCAGCTTCAAAATAAATTAAGACATGTAAAGCCTAGAATTGAGCATTGGGAATTAACCAAAAATCGTAAGGAGAAAGTTCTTTTGACTCACCTCAGAATTGGTCATACTAGAGTGACACATAACTACCTTTTAAAAGCTGAAAATGAGCCTGTATGTTCAAATTGTAATGTTTGTCTATCTGTCCGTCATATTTTAATTGAGTGTCCATGTTTTAATGACCTCTTGACCGTTTAATCGGAAGAGAGGTCAATTTTAATTTATTTTATTATTTAAAAGAGACTGGCTTTTATTATCTAATGTAATTTGTTTTGAAGACTGTGTCTTGAATTTTAACGTGTGCTTTTAACTTGTTTTTTATGTGACTTCATCCTCTGGATTTGGTACATTTGTCTAGTTGTTTTTATTTATTGTATTTTAATTTCATCATTTGCAATCATCCCATCTCGTATTTGGCGCGCCATAATCTCTCACTCACTTATTTACCTGAGAAATTGTTTGAGGTCTGCTTTGTTACCAAAAATGCATGCATGATACATTTGTAATAGAAATTTCCAATAGTTATGTTGGATTATTTTTAAAGTTATTTTATTTCATTATTTTTAATAGTTGAAATGAGATCATTTAATGACTGAAGAATAAATTGAAAAGTGCTACAGAAAAAACACAAATCTTTTTCTTATTTTATATTTCTCTGCATTTGATGTGTTTAAATGAATAAGTGAAAATACAGTTGCTTGTTGATACTATATTGTTTCACTTTTTTAGCTTAAAATTTTTCATAAAAGAACATGAATTTGTTTCTTTTACATAGTTTCGTGCTTGAAAAGCAAAGGAAAGTGAAGATCATGTTTAGTTTCCATAAACCAAAAATCTATCGGTCAGTGAATGGATGCTGTATATGTAAAGCTAAGTCCTCTAGTTCAAGGTTTACAGATAGCAAGAAGTACGAACCTGAATTTGAAAAATGTTTCCGAATGAGTGAAAAGCGTTCTGGAGAGATATGTAATGCTTGTGTTCTTTTGGTAAAAAGATGGAAAAAGTTGCCTCTTGGTACTAATAGAGACTGGCACCATGTAAGTGATTGTTTTATTTATTTTTCTGATTTTTTAATGTCCTTGAAATGTGTGCCTAATTTAAGAATCTAAGAAATAAATTTTCACAAGAATAAGCTTATAGTATTTTATGCTTTGTTTAAATTGTTATAGTTTATGTTTCTGCCATTTTAATATTCTAAGTAAGTATGGATAAAAACAATCAAGGAAAACATTAAAAGAAGTATGCTTAATGCCTTTTCAGTGCTGCCTTGGGCTTGGTGGTTAGAAAGAAGGCTGCCATAGGCCTGGATTCTCTGGGGTGCCCCAAGTAACAAGTCCTGATGATGGGACAGCTGAATGGCTGATGGGTTCAGTCAATTTGTTTATTCTTAACAAATATCTGAAGAGCAAGTGTCATGTTATTTCGGGAAGGAAAGAAGATTTTGTCTGCTTTTCTTAATTTGAATGATAGTTTGTATGCAATGCTGGAGAATTTCAGAAGGAACTGAAAACCATGCCTGTTTAAAGTTTTCCATTATATTCCAAGAGACATGGAAACTGAATTATTGCATCTAATGCTCCTCTTAAGGAAAATTCATTATGGTTAAGCCTTTCTCCCCAGCACTCACAATGGTCAAAAGGATAAGACCAATGAATGTAAGTAGTTCACCCCAGGTTCAAACCCCAGGGAACGGGGTTGGCTGCATGAGTAATTTTGTCCATGTGTAATGTAAATATGAGCTAGTTCCTCCCAATAAATTTTACACAAAGCATCCTTTCCCTTAGTCAGATGGACTTAATGTGCTTTGCTGTAACCTAATAATTCCCGTGCTTCATTATAGCGTAACTGAAATCTTTTACAATTAGTGTATTGTCTGGAACTCAACAACTTTTGAATTGGATTGAAAAGGTACAGCTGATTATGCATATTAAAAAAAGGTCAGTTGTTGACTCTGTGCAGATAAACCAGAAAAATAAAAAGTTATTGATTGCCAAAAGCAAAATTGCTGAAAAAAAATTTGCGACACTTTGTGTGTTGCTTTACTTCCAGTCACTTGACTACTTTACTGAAAATGCTTCACAAATATTTTGTAAATTTTTCAGGCTGTGTCTTGAAAAAGGTCTGTTAATGCACTTAGATTGTTGCAGTATTCAAATAACATACTTGCGCTAAAAAGGAATGGCATCAAACAGCTGACTTCAAGAAGTCATTAGACTGTAGGCATTCTACTTATAATATACTTACTTCTTTCTTGATTAACTGGTTGATTAGTTAACTTATAATTGCAAACAGCATGAAACCTGTTTGTCTGAGAGGGTTACCTTTGTAAAGAAGATACTTTTCAAATAAATTAGAGAAACTTTTCACATTATACTGGAGAAACGTTGCAAAGGTCCTGTGCAGGTAGCCCATTCAACAGAAACAGGACTCTGGGCAAGCTACCATTATCCATTGGGCCTTATCGAGTTAATGCCTTATTCATTGGGCTACTAATTTATTTCTTATTAGTAGTATAACGTGTATAACGTCCTTAAGTGGAATTTAATTTTGCAGTTATATAATCTAACTTTTTATATGAATGTCTGGTCCTTATAGTGGTATTTAGTAAATGTTTATGCACATTCTGAAAATTAAATGCAAAAGACCTATCATGTCCTCTTGCATTGCATTAAAAATGCTGCCAAAGGACAATTTGGCAGTCTTGATGCTGTACCAGGAAGCTGATACAAATATTGGCAAGATAGCAAAAATATACTTGTGTGTGGCAGTACAATGTTTAGTTTCAATGCAGCAGACCCTAGTTCACCCTCCAAAGGTATCAACCACTGTCAAAGGGCACTGTAGGTTTTCTGGCAGGGCGTTTCCCATCTTTGGTAACAGATGGAGCTGTGAAACAATAGCAGCAGCAGTAAGTGACCTAATGGCAGTGTCTACCTCTAGGTGAAATAGTTGCAAATATTTCTGTTCTAATTTTAGAAATCTTCTAAAAAACATGTAATTATGTCTGAGACTGATATAGGAAAATTATTGCATTAAAACATTTAAATTATAGCGAGAATTCAATTATATTCACTTATTCAAAGTCAGAAATCCTGTTGAGACTAAAAACTTAAGGAATGCCTTGTTCTATATTGTTTAATGAGTTCTCCCTCTCCAGTAATCAAAGTTACTAAAGATTCTTCAGCTGAAGATAATCATGTATTTTTAGGTTGTAGATGCACGAGCTGGACCTGGAACAAAAAGTGTGAATAAAAACAAAACTAAGCCTGAAAAGAAACCAGTGAAGAAACTCCGGCTAAGGTTGTGCAGAAATAAACAAAATACAACTGAAGTTTTATCTGATGATATAGTTGGTAAATGCCCTTTTATTACTTCTATAATATTTGGGAATGAAATCAATTTTCATATTTATAGATTTTAATTTAAATAATAATTTTTAATACTTATTTTTGAGAGAATATTATATAATGAATAAAACTCAAATTTATCCTTGGTTTTCTCATTTATTGAACTTGAGTATTAAATGTCATCTGAAGCTCTGTTATAATAGCATTGGAATACATATATAATGTCATAATTTAAAGGTTGTGTGCATGGTGTATTCAGATATTTTTAGAAAAGATATAGCATATAATTTTCTGTAATTTTGCTTTGCTAGCGTCAAAATGTTTTCTAAGAATGCATTATATATTTGGTGTGTTTGTTAATGAAAATACTTTAACTATTACCAAATGCCTTTCTTATTAAAATTTTGTGTAGGTCATTTGAAATGTAATCTGTTCTCAAGTACACTGCTCATCAAAATTAAAGGATAATGACAGAAATAAAATTTAACTAATACTTAATGAAAAATTATTAACAGAAATTTGTACAAAAGCATTATTTAACATAAACTAATGTTCTGACAATTGATTATTCAAAAAATATTGAAATTTATGGAAACTGGAAAATGATGAAAAAACTAAGTGATCTCTTCTGGAAACAAATTTTTCTTTAATATGGTATATGTTTACCTCAGACAGATATACATACCTCACATCTTGATTACATAGAACCAAAGTGTTGATTAAGTCTTGTGAAATTGCGTGCCATTCTTCTGAAAGTGCACTTTTCAGCTCCTGAAGGGTTTAGGGAGGAATTTAGCATGCTAAAATTAGATGCCCCAAGGTATCCCACAAATGCTTCATCGGTTTCAGGTTGGGTGAGTAAGCTGGCCAATCCATTTGAATGATATCTTCTGTTTGCAAACATTCTGACACCACTTATGCTGGATGAGGCCAAGCATTGTCATCCATCAGCAAAAACTCCTGAGTGAACAGCACCTCTAAACTGTCTTAACTTGGGGTTCCAAAACCTCATCCTTATATCTCCGAGCGCATTCAAAACCTCCTTGAAAGATATGCAGCTCGGTGCAGCCATTTGTCATGATTCCTTCCCGAACCATGAAACTGAGGCTGTCGAAATGGGATATTTCACGGACAAAGGAAGGAAAGTTGCATGTTCTTTCCTCTCTCCAGATCAAAACACGTCTATAATCACTGTTCAGACTATAACAGGACTTATCAGTAAACAGTACTCGAGCTCAGTTGCCTTGGTTCCACTGAACATGATGACAGCACCAGTTTAAACGGGCCCCTCTGGAAGCTGGAATGAGTGGGATACAAACCATTAGTTTCCTCGCATACAATTCAACTTCATTAAGCCTTTGTGTAGCAGTAGAATGGCCAATTCGAGTTCCTGTGGCTGCCTGAATGTCTAAAAACCAAATCTCTTATAGTCGCTTCTTGGTTTTGAGCTGACAACAACAGAAAATGAGCTTCTGATTCAGTTGTTATTCTTAGTCACGCTTGACCAGGCTGTCTATCAACTGATCCAGTGCTTGAAAAGGGGCACCAAACTTTTGATATGACACTTTGAGGGATATTCAAATCTTGGACAGCCTCTATTTGTGTTTAACCTCACTTAATTCTACCAATTATTCGCCACTTTTGACTGCCACTTAAATTATGCCTTTGAGCCATAACTACTGAATAGTGATCACTCTCAGAAACCACATTCACTTTAAACAACAGTACAGACCAGAATGCCAACCTGCATCCATTGTGTAACATATTTTCAATCACTGAAAATGCATATGCTAACGATGCTAACACATACAAAGAAGTGCAGTTTTGTGTTCAATTTTATTTAATTTAGATAATTACAGCATTTGGGCATTGGTTGCAACATTAAATTCAAAAGCATATTTTTTCTCATTATCCTTTAATTTTGATGTCCAGTTTATTATTTGGAAAGTTATTAAAAGTTTGTCTTTTCGATGTTGCAATCTTCTGAACCAGATCATTGGGGATATTGTAAACAGTTGTAACTTTAAGAAATATTTCCTGTGTTAAATTTGATTAATGAAAATTGCTATTTTTATGAGTGGTTTTGCTCATAACATCATTTCATTCTTTAAGTGTGGATAATCTGATATATATTTAATCAAAAATGCATTTGCTTTTATTAATGCTGTTATTTGTTGATGAATATCTCTGTGTCATTCTTGTACTACGTACTGGTGCACCAGCAGTCGAGTAGGAAAGTTGCTGAACGCTGGTATTTTGGTCCAGGATTCAAATCCTGATAAACAGGCTGGCTGCATGGGAGCTTTCATGATTTTCCCCATGTTTAACGTGTATAGGAGTGAGTTTCTGTCTGAATGTCCTCCTTGAAGGCATCCCTCCCCTTAGGCTGAGCATTAATCAAAATAAAACAAACGGAACCTTGTACTAGATACTTTTGGCTACTAACTCTTTCGTGCCAATTGTCATGCGCATGAGTCATCAAGAACCTCATTCTTTTCTCATGTTGCAAGCTGGTGTGACAGACCATTTTCTCATTCATCTCTGCCAGTCACGTATTCTTGTGAGTTTTAGAACATTTCAGAAATTTTTGCCACAGGATGACATTATATGTCCATAGGATTTGAGATGTATATAGACTTGACCTTCTACATGTATCTTTCACTGGAAATGAGGCAAAGATGGCACACACTTGGATTTTGATTATATCAGCATAAGGCCAAAAACATGTTCTCAAGTCGCAAGCTTCCTAATTCTTTCTTTTTGGGGGTACAGCATTGTGTGTTTCTTAAATGCACATGTAGTATTTATCAATAAATGTTACATTTTTTTAAAGCATTTAGTGTTTGTAGTCCAGTATCTAATTGAGAATTATACCTTGGATGTATGAAATGTTTCTGTTTTGTGTGTTACAATGTTGAAGTGTCTAAAACTTTATCATTTGGAAAAGAAGCAGAGTTAAAAGAAATTTTTGGATAGTATGGAGAAAGAGTTGTTAAATCTCTTTTTAAAGAACTTCGTTTATATATTGAGTTTTTTTTTTTTTTTTTTTTTTTTTTTTTCATGTTTCCTCCAGTTGTGGATGAATTCATTAGACTTGCAAGAAATACTTGTGGGATTGTAATGAGGAGAAGGAAAGGCATGACTGAAAATTTTCCACTGCCCAAAAAGTAAAATTAGCGAGATGTTTGTTTTGCAGAAATCAAAACCTGAATTTTTAAGTGCTTTTTAAATATATATGGCAAGAACTTTGTTCAACTGAAAGTTCTAAGGAAGTATGACAGTGATACTTTATTCACACTCTTGGAAAAATCCTCCAAAAAGGCAAGTTAACTGTTATAAATGCAAGGACTGTAGATAGATCTGTGCTCTGAAATTTATCCCACTAAAAATGAATTTAGTAAAATGTTTGTTGTCAATTATATAACATCAAAAGTCACTAACAAAAAAGAAAATGTTGAAAAAAAAATTAATGCACAAAATAAAGATATTTAAACAACAACAAAAAACTCAAGTGTATGAAGTATATAATTAAAAAATATATAGAGCATATACTGTATATATACTCTAGAGAATATTTAAACAGCTCATTCATCTTTTCATAATTTCATGGATTAACCCTTTGACTGCTCAATTTGTGGACCAAAATTGCTTTAAAGATTGTGCAATTTTCTTTTTGCATATTTTAAATCTATATGTATTGTAGAATTGAAAAATGCATTTTTTCTTTCTAGAAAATATATTTTTATATAAATTTTTATCATGAGAAACTAAGTTGCCAGAAAAACCAATTTCAGATGTTATCACCCCCAAAAAATTTTTTAAAATAAATTTCAGTTGAATTAAAGTCCATTTCTATTTATTGCATAATAATAAAAAAAGTAAAATATATAAAATATAAAGCACTGAGGTAAAAATACCTTAGAAATGCAGTTTAGTATGATAGAGCTTAAAACAGGGTTCAAGGCAAAGTCCAATGTCACAGTCTTTGCACCAGATTCAATAAAGCTAATTAATAATTAATCTGATTAATAATTTAATTAAGTAATCAAAATAATCGCTAAATGTTTTCCAGCAGCCATTTCTGCAAGTAAAAAGCTCAAAAAGTGGAGTTATGAGCAATAATACCATGTGCCTTCAAATGCCACAATTTAGTAGATGACTAATGGTATCTGTTATCCAAAACGTAAACTAAATGTCTAATACTGTATATAATTTATTTCAGCGGTTAAATGGGGAAAAAACGGGATGTGTTCCTCAATAAAGGAAGAAAAACACATGTCTGCGGGATGAGCAGATTTTGCTACATTTGAGTTGCCCATGGAAATCGTGGGATGAGCAGCCACAGGGTTAAGGTTTAGTTGCAGAAAACCCTCAGCCTCTGGAGAGACGTCTGCAGCAGAAACAGCAGGCCCCCAACAGTATGTGCATGTTTGCACCTTTCATCCTGAAAAGGTTAACATCCAACCTGATTACTGCCTTAGTGCACAAGTTCAGGTTTTTGCATAAGGTTTTGGGGGTATTATATTTGATTATTAAACACCAATTTATAAGGAATAAATTTTTTTAATAAATCGAAATGTACACATAGTGTTAGAATGACATTATTTTGAATGATGAACAGTGTGTGCAAATGAACTTGTAAAAACAAAAGGGAAGTACTTTTTTTGACAGTCCCACAAAGTCGAGATTCTTAGCACGCATGCGCTAGAAGGAGAGATGAGTTCCATAGCATTAAGAATCTTAGCATGGATGCCTTAGATGGAGAAATCAGGGTATGGTGTCAGTGGTGAAGAAATGTGGGAGAGAAGTAAAACTCCATGTCATCTCCCTTCCTGGAAAAAAAAAAAAATGCCCTGAAAATTCATAAAAGAGAAAAATAAAAATAAGTATTTCACAAATCATTTTGGAAAGTAAACATGAAGTGCAAAAAGAGTTTGGTTTGCAGGAGCAATTTTTTCTGGAGGCTCGTCATCTACTGGAGACAAGCTGGTTGCTGTGATGAGGCC